GGGCTATTCCAGCACTAGCTAAAAAAGAAAGTTCATTGTTGATTATAATCATGCAATATTATGGTACTCTACATTGCCCTAATACTCTTCTCCTTTATTTCCAGGTATTTGGTCACAAGATAAGTAAAATCAAAATAGCAAGAGAGCATAATTTCACGTGATTTTTTTTGAAAGTCATTTAGAATTTCTAGGGCTTCTTTTGAATTTATTAAACAAGGCTTTCACTTGATCTCTAATCTTATTCATTCATACATACAATGCACAAGATGGCAGAGTAAGAAGTAAGTTGCTCTCACCCTCCTTCACTGACCTTTGAAAGCTCAGAAAATATTGACCCAGGAAATACCCTGAGCCAGGAAAAAGCCAGGTCATAGAAGTCTTGTAGCTCAGAATGCTTGGGGGATTAACGGGAAAGGCCCCTCTTGTTCTGGGGAAGGAGGAGCAGTACAAGACTGGAGGCATCCCAGCAAGCCAGCAGCAAACTCCACCTCACCATAACAGGGGGAGATCCTGAGACCCAGGTTGGTGCAGCAGGCAAGTGCCAACACCAGGACCTCTCTCCCACCAAGATCCTCAATATAGGCAGGGGAACTGGTAGACACCAGCTTGGAAAACCACCATAGGCAATGGTGTTCTCCAGCTACAAAATCACCCAGTGCCTCAACACAACTCTGGGAAGCACAACTCCAGAAGGCAAAGCTCCAGGCTAACAGACATCCACCAGCAGCAAAAGATCCCTGTGCAAGACCCAGGCAAGCAGGAGCCAAATATTCAAGTACAAGGCCTAGGTGAGCAGGAAAAGAAGCTTGGGTAAGTGCCCCCTTCACTCCAGCAGGAAAACTCAACATTTTTGAATGGTCAGGAAATAGGCAAACACCATGAACAAAAAGCAGAAACAGAAAATGACCCATAGATTCTCATTTTGGGGAAAGGGAAGATGAAGGCTCAAATTCAGAAGGGGACAACATTGTCAATATACCCACATCCAAAACTTGAAAGGGGAATATGAACTGGTCTCAAGCCCAAAAAGTCTTCTTGGAAGAGCTAAAGAAGGATTTTAAAAGTCAAATAAGAGAGGTAGAAGAAAAATTGGAAAAAGAAATGAGAGATTTGTAAGAGAGAGTCAATAGCTTGAAAAAGGAAGGACAAAAATTAACTGTAGAAAACAAGTCCTTAAAAAGTAGAATTGGCCAAATGGAAAAGGAGGCACAAAAACTTACTGAAAAGAACACCTTAAAAAGTAAAATGGGCCAAATGGAAAAGGAGGTACAAAATCTAATAAAATATATACAATGCTATGAAATTTTCAAAACATGTTCATATCTATTATCTTGTTGGAGTCTCATATGAATTAGGTAGGGAAGGTCCTATTAATCTCATTTTACAGCTGGAAGAAACTGAGGAAGAGAGCTGTTAAATTACTTGCCCAAATAAAACCCATGCTTTTTTGATTTCCAGTCCTGGGTTGTATTAGTTTTTCTTTTTTTCATCCTATATTCTTACAGCGAAGGAAAAACTTGGAAAGGTAGCTGGGTCGTACAGTGGTTAGGGCATTGGACTTGATGTCAGCAAGACTTGAGTTCACTTCAGCCTAATCCAGTCAAATCCACGTTGTGTGACTCTGGGCGAGTCATCTAACTTTTCTGTGCCTCGGTTTCTTCTTCTATAAAATGAGTAAAAGTATTAAATTATCAAATAAATAAAATAGTAATAGCACCTACCTCCCTGAGTTGTTGTGAGGATCAACTGAGGTATCAAACCTTAAGTGCTGTATAGCCTAAATATTATTATTAACAACAGTATGAAAAAAAAAACACAAAAATCTCACAACTACAGAGAAGATGCATTACTGAAAGTCTATTCAGATTAAAGGGAAAAATAAAAAAGGAGGCCTGGTAGAAATATGACCACTGAGGGTCCTCTTTTCATGTAGGGAGGCCCCAGAAAAACCTCCAGATTACCAAGAGACATCATCTATTCACTCACCTCTAAAGAGGTACACCAGGAAATGTTCCTTCATCCTTGGGACTAAGCTGATCCTGACAAATGTGAGTAGCAGGGACAAGGTATTCAGTCATCAGGCAATTTATCCCATTTAGCTATGACCTCTGTCAGGTTAATTCAAAGATGGAGAATAATTGCTAAAAACAACAGTCATACATGGAACCATCATGGAAAATGCTTTTTTTCATATCATCCCAGAAGAAGATATTTATTTCTCTTTCACTTCATAACATGTCTACTTACATTGAACTGTGCAAACAGCATCAACATGCAAACAACTAGGTACAAACAAGATATGTAGGCGTTGCATACTGTATGTGTATGTGCATGTACACGTGTGCATTTGAGAGTGTGCTCCTTTCTGACTTCTATAAATTTACAGGAAAGCTCTGGAGACTAAGATGCAAACACATGTCCCCCTCTGCTTTTGCACCTTGAAGAGGGTGGCCTCCTTTTCAGATGAGAATGGATCCTTCTCTGACTGAATTTGCACTTAGGATAAGCCTCTTTGGGATATAAGTGGATCATCCTACTCTTTGTAAAGAATATCAGGGCTTTGAGTTATAGTACAAGCCTGAGCACATCACCCTCTACTCAATAAACTTAAATGGCTCCCTATTACCTCCAGGATCAAACAGAAAATCCTCTGTTTGACACTGAATGGTCTCATAACCTTCTTGCCCACACACCTTTCCAATCTTCTAGTATCTCATAATTCCTTTCCATTCCTGGTCCCTAACATGTTCTCTGTGATCCAATGATACTGGTCTCCTCAAAGTTCCTCAAATAAGACACTTAATTATTTGTGCATTTTCTCTAGCTATCCCCTATTTTCTCTCTCCTCATCTCTCCCTTCTGGCTTCCTGCCTGCCTTCAAGTTCTATCTCAAATTCCACCTTCTACAAGAAGCTTTTCCCAATGCACCTTAATTCTAGAGCTTTTCCTCTATTGATTTCCTCCAACTTATTCTGCCCACATATCTTGTTTGTACCTAGTTGTTTGCATGTTGTCTTCTCCATAGACTATCAGCTTCTGGAGAATCTTTTTCCTTTCTTTGTATCCTCAGCTCTTAGCACAGTGCCTGACACTTGGTAAAGGCTTAATCAATTTTCGTTAATTAACCAGCTGATTCACCAGATAGTTCATTGGCATATTAAAAGACCAGCAGAGACAAGGAACTTGTCTTTAGGTCATAAATTGCTCCAACCAATTAGAAAATTAGCATTTTATTAAGCACCTACTATGTGCCCGGCACTGTGCTTATGCCCTGGAGACACAAAATGAGGCAAAAGATAGTCCTTGCCCTCGAGGAGCTCACAGTCTAATGGGGGAGACAACAAGGTAAAAAGTAGGTAAAAACAAGGTATATATAGGATAAATAGGAAAGTTAACAGAGGGAAGACACCAGAATTAAGAGGGGTTGGGAAAAACTTCCTGTAGAAGGTGGAATTTTAGTTAGGACTTGAAAGAAGCCTAGGGAAGGCAGAAGGCAGAGATGAGGAGGGAGAGCATTCCAAGTATGGGGTAGGCAGAGAATATGGCCAGGGCTGAGAGATGAAGTGTTTTATTTATAGAACAGCAAGGAGGCTAGTGATGGGGTGTGGGCCCAAGCCTAGATCTTTGTCCCTTGCCCCAAAGGAAATCTGCCTTTGCAGGCCCCAGCTCCTCATCTCCCTTTGAAAGCCTTAGCCCTACCTTTTGATCTTATTCAGATGCGCCTTTGCCCCAGCCCTAAAAAGAATCTGGCTCCCGTTTGTCTATGGGTCCCAGAACACCCTTAAATTTTTAGGTTCCTTATGACTCCCCTTATCTCCCTTTGAAAGCCCTAGCCCTACCTTTTGATCTTATGCAGATGCCTTTCAAACTTCTTCTTTCCAGTTCCCTTCATTATCTATTCCCATTGTCTATTCATTCTCTCAGACCTGCCAAATCAGAATTCTCATCTAGACCCTTTTCCCAGCCCCCTTTTCTGGCCACCCAAAGTTACTTTAGTGTATATGAGGTCCACCCTGACCCCCATTCAAATGCTGAGATTTTCTCATACCCAAAAGGCTGAAACTCTCTCATGCCCTCGTCCCTACAGGCGTTACTAATGTTCAGATTTCTTAAGAGTCTGGCCTATATGATTTATCTCTAATAAACTTTTTCTCTGACTGGAAGAAGATTTGAGTTGAATTCATTCAGGCAGAGCCCGCGTTGTGATTTTGGGGTTCAAGCACCCCAAACCTCTAGACCTCTCCAGCTAATGTCACTGAATCAAAAAGTATGGGAAGGGAGTAAGGTGTAAAGAGACTGGAAAGGTAGGAGGGGACTAGGGTCATGAAGGGCTTTGAATACCAAGCAGATTTTGTACTGGATCCTGAAGGTGATAGGGAGTCACCGGAATTTACTGAGTAGGGACGTGACATGGTTGGACCCGGGCTTTAGGAAAATAACTTTGGTAGCTGAATGAAAAATGGATTGGAGCGGGGAGACGTGGCTATTGTAACAGTTCCAATGTGAGATGATGAAGGCCTACCAAGGTGGAGGCAGTATTAGAAGACAGAAGGAGGTATATGTGAGAGATGTTGCAAAGGTAAAATTAACAGCAAAAGATTGGAAATGTGGAAATGAGAGATAGTGAGGAGTTGAGGATGACACAAAGTTGGGAGCTTTGGGGACTGGGAGGATGGAGATGCCTTCAACAAGTAATAGGTAAGTTTGTGATGGGGAAGGGTTTAAAGGGAAAGATAATGAGTTCAATTTTGGCCATGTTGAGTTTAAGATGTCTGAAAGACAGCTGGAGATGTGAGACTGGAGGTCAGAGAGGTAGATTTAAGCTGTTTGTTTGCATACAACTGGAGAACCTTCAAATTAAAAACAGCAATTTTGAAATAAAGAACCCAGAGTTATTTGGTTATTATTGGACCATTGCCTGGTCATTGCCTAGACTTCAGAGGTAAAGATTTGGGAAAAAGCATTGGTTAGTCAATAGAGGTTAGGGTGATATCACTTACCAGGGGCCAGTTTTGTTCCAGGAAAAGTTATCAAATGGAAAAGCTAAACTTCTGCTCTCCTCTCTCCTTCTGAGAAGATCCAAGCCTCAGAGTCATTGAGGCGCTTCTGGTTGTCTTAATCAGAGTTCTCTGCCCTTTTGAAAGAACAAAGCAATACCCAAGTCAAAGACTGCAGCTAAGCATAAAGCTGAAAGTGATGGAACCCATGGCTTCCCATTGAGAGATAAGCCCAGGGAGTCCAGCAGTGTAACCTGTTCAGCAGAGATGCTCATCAATGAACTTTAAGAGTAATTGACAAAGAGAAAAAGGATAGCAAAACCCTATAGTTTTAGAGTTTGAGTTAGCTTGGCCACATGTATCCTCTCTATATATTTATCACTACCACTGTATTTTAAGTTTGTGCTCATTCTCCCCATGGATATGGTATGTATTTGTAGGAGAATATTCTCCGGAGTATATGTTTTTTTCCTTTTCATTTATTTTCTTTTTGATTTATGGAATAAAACAAGCATTTCCATGACATAGTACAATAAAAAAGATGATTGCACATGAAACTGCAAATCTACTAAGCACAATTTGTTATTCCTTTCAAATATACAACAAAATTATCATGTAAACTTTTTTCTTTTTCTCTCCCCTCCTCCAACCCTAGAGATGTTTTATGGGGTGGATATTTTATACTATTGTTCCTGCTATGCCATTTGAATAGATAACTTTGCTAAGATCTAATTAATTCTATTGGCTAATTGTTTTTTATAGGAAGCATACCAGTGGAGGTTCTTAAGCTATAGTTTTAAAAGGGTGGTACCACAGGCACTTGAACCCTTCATCACCTATCTGCAGCTCAGTTGGTGAATGTGGGTGCAAGTTGGAGGAAGATCCCAGAGTGGGTAGTAGGTGTATATTTGCTTCTGACCCATGTTTTCATTGGTTCAGAGAACTTTTGGTGTGTAAACTCCTTCACAACCAATGAGATTGGCAGCCTACTTGTAACTTAGAGTTTTAGAGAGTTTTTTGAGTCACAGAGAAGTTAAGTGATTTATTTGTCCTGCTTCACACAGCTAGTATTTGCTTTTTTTTTTTTTTTGTGAGGGTAATTGGGGTTAAGTGAATTGCCCAGAGTCACACAGCTTGTGAGTGTTATATGTCTGAGGCCGGATATGAACTCAGGTGCTCTATCCACTGTGCCACCTAGGTGCTCTAGTATTTGCCCTTTAAGAGATGAGAGAATCAAGGGCATCTTTCTAGAATCCAAAGTCTTTTCTGTAGAGTCCAGGGGTTTCCCCTACAAAAGTAGGCAACTGCTGAACACGGTTCTTCCTGACTTCAAGGAAGGCTGGCCTTCTCAACATCATGCTATGTTACATCTCAAAGTACTATGCCATTGAGAGTTAATATTATTAGGTGCCCATTTAAAAAGAAAAAAAGGTTTTACCAACAATTTGTTCTTCCTCCATACTTTGGCCTAGATAATATCCTGCAAATGAATCTCAACACAAGTTATGACTTTTCTTTTTCAATTTGTTCAGTAATTAGTCAAGCAATAACCAAATAAAAATAAGAACCCTGATAAGAAAATAAAATGGCATATTGTTGCAATGAAATTAATAAAATTTGAGGGTCAAGAACCCTTAGCAGGAAGGAAACTGTGACATTGTAAGGGGTTCTAGAAGTCTGAGAACCGTAACATTGAAGTAGACAATAAGAAACCATCTAGTCTATTCCCCTGCCCTCAGACAGTTCCTCTGACAAATCAAATCATTTCAGACAGATTAGATTCTTATCATGTCAGAATATAAACTAGGTGATAGTGGCATTAAAGGACAAGAGAAATTGTGAATTGTGTCAATCACAAGTCCACAAGAGCTTTCCCCTAACTTTTTTAAAGCTAAATATAGTTGTAATCCATGTTACTTGTTAAATTACATTTTTTTGCTTTTTTTTTGTTTTTTAATTAGGCAAATGTATTGTATTTGCATATGCCATGCAAACAGATTCTAGGACCTGAAATAGACTGAATAAATCAGCTGAATCAGAAAGACTCTAAACGTAAATGATTCTGGTCCATTTGGGATTCCAGAAAGGTGGTGGTTCAGTTATGTCCACCTAATAAATGAGTCCTGGGAATGCCTTGATTTCATCTTTCGGGGTTCTTTTTTAATTATTTTACCTTTTCCATGTGGTTTCTAGCACCCATTTTCCCCATCAGCTATGGAGAAGCTCAGCTAAAGCTATTGCCTTTGAGCTATGTCTTTCTATAGTCATGTGCAGGAGTCACACACAAAAAAAGAGCTTACTAGGATGAGCTAATGCTTTCCAAAAACTCCACAGTCTACAGAGAGAAATTACTTTTTAAAAATCTCATCTTCTGAAAAGATAGAGCAATATAGATATATATTAGCAATTGCAAGGTATTCAAGGAGTATTCAGCCCTGAAGTAGGTTACCAAAGGAGATTGTAGAAAATATTTTACTTTCACCAGAAGAGGAAAAAATAGAACAAGCCCAACTGACTGGACATGGTTTAGGCATAAACCTGCTTTGAGGGAGAAGAATGGACTTTGGGAAGTTCCTTTTGATTCTATGATACTATGATTTTCAATTAGACTTTCCACTTTGAAAGACTTGAGATTTCTGATCAAACATTCCAGGAGACCATTGATAAAGTATGCTATCTACCTTTTCTTTCTTTTTCTACAAAGTGATTATTTCAATTCAAATAAAAAACCATTTATTAAGAGCTTGGTATGTGCAAGGTACTGTTCTAATCCTAAAGAAAATATTAACAGAAAGAAAAAGTCACTGCTCTCATGCAGCTCACACTCCACTGGGGGTGGGAAACACATAATATTTACACAGAGAAGAAATAATATATAAATATATATTTATAATATAGAAATAAAAATAATATATAAAATAATATAATTTGAGGAGGATGAGATTACTGACATCAATTGGGATCAGGAAGCACCATCTCCATGAACTGGTATCTAAATTGAGCCTTGAAGAAAGTTAAAGATTCCAAAAGGTAGAGATGCGGAGAGAATGCATTCCAGGCATGGGAAATACACTGTGCAAAGAATGCATGGAGTGGGAGGTGAAAGGTCAGTTTAACTGGACTATAGAATTCATGAAGGAGAACAACTCAGTTCACATCTCACTCTTCATAGGAGACCTTTCCTGGTCTCCTCTCCCTCCTACCACCACCATCACTTGCCTGGGCCTTCTCTAGGAGATTACCTTCCCTTTATACTATATATATCTTCTAGGCCAGAAAGAAGCACAGACAAGCAAAGCAGCTTTGAAAATTACAGGTTGAACTTACATTTTTTTAAAAGCAAGCTATACCTAATTGAGACACATAATTCTATGTACAATGCTTTCATTGTGTTCTATGTACATGGAAAGGCTCATTTTATTTATTGTTTGTTAAATTCAGAATAAATAAATAATAAAATAGGTTGTTCCTTTGACCCTTCTTTCATCATTCTCCAAAATAGTGACATTGCAACTTTGTGAGATCACAAATGTCTGACTTGAAAGCTCCATTTCTTTTTACCAAAATAAGTTAAGCATTCCAGGATGGATGCACGCATTTGCTGTATACAGGATCATATCCAACTAACCACAAGAAATCCCTGGATCAAGGGACCAGCTTTTGGCAAGACTGTGAAGGAAGTGAAATTGTGATCAGTACCTTCCCCACCTAGTTCTCTTCTCTTTCTTTTTTCCCTCTGAGATGCTCTTTCTCTGTGCCTTCCTCAGGTGCTTTCTTCTTCCCCTACTAAAATCTGCTCAAAGGAAAGGTTCTTTCAATCATTTCCTTGAGTGTGATTCAATTCTCATCTTTAATCAAAAGAATTGTATGCATCAAGGAGCAGGTAGGAGAGGTACATGAGTATTTGGTTGAGACTCAAGGTTCAGAATGAGATATGGATTTTCTGGACTTGACCAATAAGGGAATTTTTTTTCCTTACTCATGCATATTTGTGACAAGAGTCCCCCCTCACTTCCATGGTGAGATGAGGTGAAAATTGATTTTTTTGTTAATTTTTTTAAAAAGTGTACTTGGTTGGAAGTAGGGCAGAAATTTTTTCCAGCTTCTGAAGTCACGGGTTAGGTAGCCATGTAGTTAGGTTATAGTTAATAGAATCTTGGAGTTGGAAGAGAACTTAGAGGTCCCTCAACTGGCCCTGATGAGATCATTTGTGCAAAAAAAAAAAAAAAAAAAAAAAAAGCTAAGCTCAATCCTAAGGTATATTACTGAACTTATTCAATTGAACCAATATTTACTAAGCTTCTGCTACATACAAGGTGCTGAATTAAAGGCACTGGGGACAAAAATACAAAAACAATACAGATGTTGCCCTCATGGACTTACATTTTACAGGGGGGATTGATATAATGTGTATTCTTTCTTTCTTTCTTTCTTTTTTTTTTGCATGACGGAGTTTTATTTTCCTTCTGATAAGGCAATCAGACCCAATAACAGCCTGTACAAGAGGAGAAAGAAGGAAAACCATCTTTTTCTTTTTTCTTCCTTTTTTTTTAAATCAGAAGTTTGGAATTGAAATTAGGTTATTACAGTAGCTTTGAATCTCAAACCTACTTGTTAAAAAGGGGGTGAAAGAGTTTTATTGAATGGAAAAGAAGTAGCAAATGGTTTCTATGTTGTGTCGATTTCATTCCAACAGGTCCTTCAATTGACTTCAACAGATTTGTAGGCTGCTTGGGTCCCTTCTTACAACATGTATTTTAATAAAGATAAGTTAAGGTAATTTGAGGAGGGAGAGAGAATTAACATTTGGGGAAGATCAAGAAAAATTTCACAGAGGAAGTAGCACCTGAGATGAGCCTTGAAAGAAGACAAAAATTCCGAAAAGAAGGTGACAAGGAAATATACTCCAGACACAGAGGTTGGCTTACACAAATGTATAGAGATGGGGAATGGCATGTTGAGTTCAGGGAATAGCTAGCAGGGTAGGTTAGCTAGAACCTACAGCATGAATAGAAAAGTAATGTGAAGTAGGTCTGAAGAGATAGATAGGAGTCCTACCATAGAAGGCCTTAAACATTAGGCCAAGGAGAGTTTGTATTTTAAGCTACAGGAAATAGGAAGCCACTGAAAAGTTTTTCAACAGGATTGTGACATAATCTGACCTGTTTTTTAGGAACGGTAATTTGGCAGCTATGTGGAGGATAGACTGGAGAAGGAAGAAACTGGAAGGAGTGAGATGAATTAGGAGCCTATTCCAATAGCCTAGGCAAGAAAGTGATGAGCACCTGAACCAGGGTAGTGGCCGTGTAAGTGAAAAGAAGGGGATAAATGTTACAGATGTTGTCAACAGGTCACATCAACAAGCATTTATTAAGTGCCTACTATGTGTCAGTCACTGGGCTAAGGGATACAAAGAAAGGCAAAAACAGTACCTGCTTTCAAGGGGCTCACGATCTAATGTTGTGGAAGTAGAATCCATAATATTTGGTAAAGGAAGAATCAAGGATGACCCTGACGTTGTGAACTTGGGTAACTAGGAGGACAGTGGTGCCCTCAATAGAAAAAGAGAAATTTGGGGGTGGGAGGTTGGAAGGGGAAACAAAAGGGGAAGATAATGAGTTTTATTTTAGACAAGCTGAGTTTGAGATGCTTACAAGATATACAGGAGGAAATGTCCACCAGGCTGTTGATGATATATGGAGTTCTGGATGAGGAACTATCTCTGTCAATATAGATGAGTACATTTTCTGTAGTTTATAGATGTGGAGAGTTGCCTGGGTCACTGAGAAGTGAGTGACTGGTCCAGGGTCACACAGTCAAGTCTATGTCAGAGGCAAGATTTGATCCAAGTCTTCCTGACTCTAAGGCCAACTTCTGTCGATTAGTATATACTGCCTCTCATATTACATACTGCCTTCTCAGGGAGAATAGAGAATAAACATAGCAATAACAAATCCCAGGCACTAGTATTCTATGGTGGGAGGGATGATGACCCTAGCCTAGGGAAAAGAGAAGACTCAGGGCCTAAAGAGCCATCGTGTACTCAGTTGCAATTTCACCTCTTTCTTTTCCCCCTGCAGGTGCTGGAGATTCCATGTTGTTAATTGTTGTTCAGTAACTTCAGTTGTATCCGACTCTTCATAACCCCATTTGAGGTTTTATTGGCAGAGATAGGGGAGTGGTTTGCCATTTCTTTCTCCAGCTCATTTTGCAGATAAAGAAACGGAGGCAAACAGATTAAGTGACTTGCCCAGGATCACACAGCTAGTAAGTGTCTTAGGCTGGATTTGAACTTATGAAGATGTGTCTTCCTGACTCAAGGCCTGGCACTCTATCCACTGTACCACCTACCTGCCCCTGAGGTATGGGAGATATCATACCTCATGGCAATATTCTTAGGATCATGGAAACATACATTTAGATTTAGAGCTGAGGGTGGGCTTGTGGAGATCAATTAATCCAACCCCCTCATTTTATAAATGAGAAAACTGAGGCCTTAAGATGCTGCCCAAGGACACACAGATAATAAGAGGACACAGGCAGGATTTGAACCCAGGTCCTCTGACTGTGAATCCAACTCTCTTTTCCCTGTAACACAATTCTGTGCTGCAAGAGATGGGACTGTGGCCTACAATCAGCTCAATGAATTACTTTCAGATTTTAATGCTCCCATTCCATTACTGTGGAAAATTGAGAGCTGACTGTATTGCAATTAGGAGCCGTGTGAAAAGATGTAAAGATGTGTGGACATCTTACACCTGCCCTGAAATTACTCACTGCACCAGCTACAGAGAAAATCTCAAGAGTAACTCTAAAATACACACATTCATCTAGGAATGCAAGTCTCTCCATACAGGAAACACCTCAAAGCACATCTTCAAACAGTGTTATCCTGAGACAAGGACTGAATCAAGCAAAGAGGAAAAAGACATTGCTAATGTCACAGAATCCAAGGTATTGTTTTTTCCCCTTGGCTTGGCAGCAAGTTTGAGGTTACTCACATTTGTGTATGGCATATGCTCATAACTGGACTGGGGAGCCTGATCACTATTCAAATCAATTCAGTAAATAATTATTAATCACCTACTACGTGACAAGCACTGTGGTAAGCACTGGGGATACAAATAAGAAAAAAAAAGTCTCTGCCCTCAGGGAGTTTACAATCTAATGGGGAAAGGAATATAAAAGGAAGATGAAAAGGGGGTGGGAGGGGAGGAAAGAGTTGTAAAGGTTTAGAGCCCTCTGTTGTTTTTTGTTTGTCCATTTTCAAAGACCAATGATATCATGGGGTGATGTCTTGACTTGTGGGTGAATTGGACTGAAGTGAGTCAGAGTTGCACAAAGTCGTCAGCTTCACTCTCTCTTCCAGAGTTATTGAAGTCCAATGGCAAGACCAAAGTCAGGACAATTGGCGATGGCCACAGATACAGTAGGAGACCTTGACATCTTTGATGTCTGACCAAGCTCTAAGCTCTCCACAGCTGCCTTCATGGCTATTGGAATGAATTGTTCTTATCTGTCCATTAGGCTGGGGAAAGTCTTCACATGCCTGGGGTAGACACCCCCCTAACTCACTGATAGGTCTGAGGCCTGTTGGTTACCCTCAACCTGGTTTAGGCTATCTTCCAAGACAGTTTACCAGGGTACGGTCACTGCATATGCTTCAGCTTCTTGGAGTCATAGGTGAGAGTTGGGTAACAGATGGAAACCACAGGTTGAAGAGCAGCACTCACATCAGGGGATGGAGGGGAGGGATAGAGCCCTCTATAGAAAGGCTTTTTAGAGGAGTTTACTGTTCCAGCCTTGAGCCGTCCAATCAGAGGGGAGAGGCAACTGAGGAAGTTGGCAAGGTGTTGAGTGTCAAAATTGAGTCGATCAGCATGGTGATAAGACTTGGTGATCAACTTATCCTAGGTGGGGGAGTGTTGGGGGAGGAGTTAAAACCAATTGGAGTTGATGATGAAGAAAGAGAGAGAGGTGATTATCTAGGATAGTTACCTGGAGCTCCATGGTCCTTTGAATAATCATCAGCAGCAGTATCTTAGCTCTTATCAATATAGCACTTAACATTTCCAATGTACTTTTATATCCAGTCCTTCATTTGATACTCAAAACAAACCTGTGAGAAGGACAGAGAAAGCATTACGAACTCCATTTTATGGGTGGGTAAACTCAGTCTGAAAGAGGTTGTGATTTGCTCAGTCATAGCTAGGAACTGGTGAGGGGAGGGTACAAGCTAAGCTTTCTGTCTCAAAGTCCAGTGAAGACAAGTAAAACTCAGTAGGAAATTGGTCTGAAATGAACCATGAACCAAATGCTGTCCTGAAACACACCAATTTGCTAAACCTTGATCTAAACCAAATCAAATTATTAACTCATTTCCTGGATTATTAACCGAGACCAAATAACCATCCCTACCTCCTCCAACAGAATTCAATAAATAAGCTATTGTCAGAATGATTCTTAGATATTTTCTAAAATTATTGAACTGAATTATTTCTTCAGAGACTGTGGCATTCCCTAACTTGCAGTCATACAACATGGCTAGAAGAATGTTGATATTTAAAGAAGGGCGTTCGTGACAGAGAGAAGTTTGGGGTCATGAAAAGAACTGCATAATTTGTCAAAGGTAATCCAATCTAGTCTCCTCCTATTCAATTTTGGGTACAAATCATGGTCCATCTGCATTGTTTATCCAGGATATATATATGAATCTGTTCTATGGGTCAATCGTCTAACTGCATATCATAGCCAGAACCATAAGCATCCTTTATCCACTTGGTTTTTCCTATGTGGATGGAAAGACCATCTTTTGGGTGATTATAAATCTAATTTAGGCAGCCCTGAAATGCCTTGGGGCTTGATCCATTGGGCACAAGGTTATCCACAAATAGGAACATCTGGAGGTGTCACCACACACACAGGGAATTCCTCTTTGATTTGGACTGTCACATAGTCTTTGAAGAATTAAAATTGCAGGTCACCAAGACAGCAATGGAGAGGGGTATGGTAGGTGTAAATAGGCTACAACCTCACTGGTGAAGAATTGTGCAGCAGAAGCAGCATCAAGGACATCAGAGAGAAGTCTGGTCACTAGGTGATGGATTCTTTATCCATGAGCTAGCTATCAACAACAACAACAAAATGTCCCTTAGTCCAGTGCAGCCAGCCCCTTTCCACTTCTGTAGTGATGGTGGTAGATAATGGCAGAAAAGGAGGTATACAGTACAAAGAACTGTGCAATTTAAAAATCATCATTTATTTATGTTATTTAAACAATAACTTAACTTTCAGTATTAAATCTGCAGTCTTCTCTACTGAATCACTGTTACTGGAAAAACTGAATTAGATCAATATTGATATTCTTAAAGAAATGAAACCAGAAGATAAAAGCTAGTTGCAGCTAAATGTAAGGATGACTCACAGGTTCTCTCTCTCTCTCTCTCTATCTCTGTCTCTCTATCTCTGTCTGTCTCTGTCTACCTTTCTGTGTGTCTCTTTCTCTGTCTTTCTGTCTCTGTCTGTCTGCCTCTCTCTCTTTCTCTCTGTTTCTCTCTCCATCCATCCATTTTTAAATTTTGAGTTCCAGATTCTCACTCTCCCTCTAGCCCCTACTCCATGCATTGAGAAGGCAAGCAATATGATACCCATTATACATGTGAAGTCATTCAAAATATATTTCTGCATTAGCCATGTTGCAAAAAAAAAAATAAAGTGAAAAAAGTATGCTTCAATCTGTACTCAAAGTTCATCAGTTCTTTCTCTGGAGGTGAATAGCATTCCTCATCATAAGTTCATAGGTTCTTGTTGGAGAGACCCAGCTAAGTTGTCATACTTGCTTAGCTGGGCACCCAAAGATGAGAAGAAACATCATTTTATGAGACATCTGGCTATTTCCTCTTATAGTGATGAGCATAAGTAAAAAGATGGCCATGAAGATGACTTCAAGCAAAGCACCAATATCTCTTATTAGGGATGAAGAAGTAAAGACAACCTGTGAGGAACTCAACAAAACCATCCAAGTCAAATCACTATGTATTTTGATACCTGACTTCAACCAGAAGATGAGTACAGACGAGGCTGGAGGAAAGTATGCTAGGAAATAGAGTTCAAGTAAAAGAAAAAAAAAAGTTCAGACACTTACAGACTCCTCAGAAGCCACATATAGATATTATGAAAAATTTTTAAAGAGGAACATCAGAAAACATTGAACATGGCAAGCAGTGAACAACATTATAAAAAAAATGGAAGTGACTATTTTGTAACAGACAGGAAATGATTGGTTTCTGATGTGGGAGCCATTTCAGAAACAGTCATTTCAGAATAGTGCAGTCAGATTATAGACTAGTTGAGAGCGAAGACGTTAAAAAAAAATAAATAAAAAAAACAGTATCAAAGTAGAAGTGATAAAGAAGAGATGATACTGTATATAATTGTAGTAGCTTCAGCTTGAACAGTTCAAACTGTCAATGCTGAAAAATGGGAAATACAAAAAGGCAAAGATATTGACACTGAATATCACCGTTTCCTGGGAAGTTTATTTAACACAAAGTAGTTGCCATGAAAGGACAGTAAAGACCAGAAAGTGACTTGTGCAAACCGTGGTTCTACTTGCCAAGTGGAGAAATGGTAGCTGAAGGCAATACTAGTTTAGAGTATAAATTTTTATATAAAATATTATGGAGATGGTTGACAGGAGACTGTAGAAGAATCATATCATCAAATAGTAAAAAGTAAAGGAGGCAAAAACATTTTGTAAAATGCCTTGACATGATACCTTATTATGATGAACCATCCCAAGAGCATTCATAGATGAAACTGAGAGGACCACAAATAGATGGAAAATGGATCCAATTTGTTTGTGCTTCTGTCTTGGTCTATTTTCAGCATAAATGATAAGGCAACCACTGAATTTGTACTCTTACACTTCAGTCTCTGATATAGTGTATCAAGGGCCAGCTAGATGGCACACTGGATAGAGGGCCAGGCCTAGAGTTAAGAAGATCTGAGTTCAAATCCAGCCTCAAACACTTACTAACTGTGTTGTTTACCTTATTTTATCATCTGTAAAATGCTGAACAGCTAGAGAAGAAAATGGACAACCACTCCAGTATCTTTGCCAAGAAAACCCCAAATGGGGCCATGAAAAGTTGGATACAACTGAAAATGACTGAACAGCAAAAACTGTATCAAGTTGAAATGGAACTTAGGAAGAGGTAGTCAAGAAGAATAGCTGGATCCGATTGATTATGCAGAGGAGGAAATTCATGTAAAACAGAACAATAATCTCAAAAACTTTGAGGAAACGAATAATTTTCTCATATATCAGGGAGGGGAAATTTGTGGAAAATCTTAGTACTACAAAAAGGCAAGGCAGAGCATATCAATACCAGCCCATATACTTTCTTTATGAAATCTTTTTGAGACTAATCAATATATGTATCAAATATATCCTTGATGAAAATATGAGAAGGGAAGAGGTAGGGTTTCAAAAATGATTTTCTACATGTAGAACACATCTTTACAGCTGCAAAATTAATGGAAAACTAATGAGAATACAAGTCCCCATTGTATTTCTTACTTGTTGACCACTAAAGAAATTTGATTCAGCAGAGCAAAATGCAATCTCAAAAGGCTCCTCTCCACCAAGAAATCTTTCATGCATATGTTAAGATTGTAGAAGATTTTTAAAAAATAGATGATTACTTAGTTCAATGACCCTCAGTTTATTAACTTCAATAGAAGAAATAAAACAAGGAGATACATGTTCTCCAAAGGAATGCACCACTATTAAGGAGGATGTTTTGTGCAGGAAGGGCCCCACTGGAAAAAAAGATTCCCTGTAGATGATGAGGTACTCTAAATGCTACTGATTTTGAATGGTCATGTGATAGTATCAAGCTCCAGAGCACTACAGACACACTACAAAAGAGATCAGCCTTACGACCTATTCAGCATAGACCGAAAGTGGTGAAAAATGCCTGTTGTTCAGAATATGTTCAGTTAGTGAATCCACTCAGTTTAATATATTCCTACATATGTGTGTGTTACTGTAGATGTATAATAGGCTGGGCCCAAAGTTGAATAGAAGGAAGAGAGAAGGAGGATTATATTTGGGAAATCACCTTATGCTTTGTAAAATCTTTAGATGGGAGCATTTTACACAAACCCATCTTTTCGAGACCAATATTGAATCTACTGATGATAATGGGATTAAGAATCCTGGAACCCAACTGTACCTTTCCTTTCCTTTCTCTTCCTTTTTTTCTCTCCTCTTTTATTTTCCTTTCCTTTTGCCATTCCTTTCTCTAGCTCATTTTACAGATAAGGAAACTGAGACAAACAAGGTTAAGTGATTTGCCCAGGGTCACACAGCTAGTGAGTGTCTAAGGCTGAATTTGAACTTACAAAGAGGAGTCTTGCTGATTTCAAGCCCAGTGCTCTATATACTGCACCACCTAGTTGTCCAAGTTCTACCTCTGACATATACTAGCTGTGTGACCTTAGGCAAGTCATTTCACCTCTTAGTGTTCCAGACCAGCAGTGTCAAACTCAAATAGAAATGAGAACCACTAAACCATATATAAGGATCTCTGTGAGCCACGTCTTGACTTAGAAAACAACAGATTTTTGCATATTTCTTTTTTTAATTATTATTAACACATCAACACATTGAACAGCTAGGAACTACATTTTAATCTGGTTCAGGCTGCCCCCGGGAGCATCACAGGCCATTTGTGACCTGTGGGCCACCTGTTTTAACTCTTTTGTTCTAGGTAACTCTCAATCACAAATTTCAGAAAGGCGCCAACTTGATTAGTAGTGGGAGTTACCTCATCTGGAAGTTTCCTGTTCCAAAGAAATCACATGTCCAGTCCCTATCCCCTGCAGAATCTGATTAGTTTACCTCACTAACAATAGTAATAGCTAACATTTACCTTTCACTTACTATGTTCCCAGGCACTGTACTTGATCTCTACAACAGACCTCAGAAGTAGGTACAATTATTATCCCCATTTTACAGAGGAGGAAACCAAGGGAAACAGAGGTCAATTGACTTACCCAGGGTCATGCAGCTAGTAAGTATCTGAGGCTAGATTTGAACTCAGGTCTTACTGA